ATAAACTGATCAAAATCAACAAGGATGGATTTTTCCACTGGCACCTCATTTAGCAAATTTTCACCTATCTTCATGTATCTTGAGAGAGTTACACACACAATAAAAGCAACATTTGGGGTAAAAAAATCTACTTCCAATTTTTCTATTCACCCTCTATTCTCTACAGATTAATTAAATGTCCCTTTCCTGAAAGTTAGCCAACCAAACTTCCCTGCAAAACAAAGACGGTGGGAAGACGATCAAGTGCCGGAGCAACAGAAGAAGAAAGGCAAAGGGAAAAAAGAGAGCGGGAGAGAAAGATCGATATAGGTTCGTAAGAGATGTCCAAAGTTTGGCTTCTGTGAATGCTCCAAAAAAGCTTCTAAATTAGTGTACGTCCAATTGAGCAGTCTTGTGTTGCAAATCTCTTTTTCAGCTATTCCCATATCAAGCTAACTGGCTAGCCTGAATAACAGGCGTGCGTTTTTCAGGCGAGCGAAGGCAATTAAGCCCGAAGCCGGAGCGAATGCAAGCGCGAAGGGAGTGAGGAGAGCCATTAAGGGGTATGTCTGGAGCGGAATGCAAAAAAACAATGTTATGTGGACAGGCCATTGTTTTTTCTGCGTCTTCCCCGTCCCGCTTGTCTGGCGCTTCTCACTCACTTCCGCTTGCCTTCGCTTTCCTGCAAAAACGCGAAAAAAAATAACGCCTATTATGCAGGCTACTAACTGGTTGAAAGCCGGTCCAAAAAAGGCGATTTGGTCAAAAGGCGGGGTTTTCTTCTATTAAAATTGGCCGTCAAAAAAGAGTTAAAGGGGCTATGCGAAGCTAATTGCTAGTTCATTTTTGATCTTCATTTCGCATAAATTTAGTTCCAAAAATTATGGTCCAGTTTTGTTATGTAAGGCTATATTTAGGCATTGAAACTGTTTCCGCTGTTGCTACTGATGGCCAGGACGGACATGGACTGAAAATTGGAAAAATTGGGCCATCTTTTTCAAGTTTGTTTGAATGCATCACCCAAAAAGATATTTTTGGCTAGTGCTCCCTGATAAAATGATATCTTCTTCATACCCCACATGTAACTCTACACTGAACTTTTTTTGACTGGGTAAAGGCAGTAAGTAATGACTTTAGCACAGAATCAACCTAAAACAGCAAATATACTGATTTGGGGTCTTCTTGACAAGAACCGTCACAGGGAGCCCAGAACCCCCGCTTCACAGATTGACAATCTGTAACCAGCTGTTGTCATGTTTCGTTCCTGCGGATATATAATATTAGATACCGTCCAAACTTAAGGACACTGTAGTTAGAGGGTCTGCTGCTAAGAGGAAAATATCTAAATAATGGATTTTTTTGCCTGGTATCACAAATGGCTAGAGCTAAAATTTTCATGTTCAAAATTCCAAACCAAGGAAAAAATGTTTTTACGTACCGTAAATTATCATATTTTTTCAAGCACTTCTGAGGGGGGGCGCTTAAAAGGGAGGGGAGCTTATTTAATTAAGCAAAACGAATCACCTGTAGCAAAAATATCGTGGTATGAGACAGAGTAGACTTACGCGTTGTACAATTAAAGTCACTGTCAAATATATGTAATTCACTTGTGGAAGCCTAAAAGTAACAAAAACAAAATTCTTATTCTTCAAAAATGTGCTTTCGGCCTCATTTTCTTCGGTAACTTTTATGCGAATGGTTACTTGTATTGATTTGTCGTACACAACTTACAAACGAAAACCTCTGGAAAACTCGTCTTATATTAACCGTTAATTTTTTTGTGAAGAATAAGGATTGGGGGGGCTTAATAGAGAGGGGGGCTTATTAACTTTCCTCCTCTGAATAGGTGGAGGCTTATTAGAGAGAGGGGCTTAATAGAGGATTTACGGTAATTTTTGTTGGTAACGGCACATGTTATTCAGCAATTAAATAGCCCCCACCCCCTCGCTTATACCATAGCTAAAGATCAATTTAAGAGCAGTTTTATCGCGTAACTCTTCTTTCCCTTTGTCTGAAGTTCTTTCCTTCTTAACTTTGGGAAACGGTTAGGCGTAAATAAAACCGCCGATGCCACTTACTTACCTCGCTATGTTACTTAGCTCCTTGGTCGCTATCAACTACCCTGCGAGCAGAGGCCCTTCGATCTTCCTAGATAAGTCGGGAAGAGGAAGAGAAGGGTAGGTATCAACTCAACAGTGATTCGATCGGACGTTCCGGTGTGAAGGCACGAGCTGGGACATTGCGGGTACTGACGTTAATACTCCTGAGCAAAAGGCAGGTATTTCTTTAAACAAAAGTCGGGTCTGCTGTAAACTGAAAAACGTAGTCAAGTTACGCTTTTACTCTGCGTCGCCTTAAATTCGTTGCCGCATACTGCAATAGGCCAGGGGCGTCAAGGATGACCTTTCTGATACTTCTCTTTTCAAGATGATGCTACGTTTTGCAAGCACTCGACATGGGTGGGAGTTGGTTAGAGAAGCTCAAAAGCTGTGAACAAGGAGTCTTATCTTCCATGGACAAATCCTAGTCGCATCGTCGTGAAAGGTGATTTACTCTGTTGGAGTACAGTTGAACCTCCATGTCCGACCACCTATCCAAAACACCCAAACCCACTCAGTAAAGTCTTACAGTTGGAATCTTTCCTGTAAGCGCCTGCGACCACTAATTGGGGCTGACTTTTTAATGATTTTGCATTGTTTTTAACCTCTTGTAAGCGACCACCTGACGAGTTTTCTGATCTCTTGTGGTAGGAACAACAACAACATGGAACTGCACATATCGTAACTTGGAAATTGCATGCAATAAATTATCTTCCTTAAAGTAGATGTGTCCAGCTTTCTTCTCAAAGAAACCTCCTGTGGTTCGATTCTCGTAAGAAACCACCTCCCGTTAGCGACCACTAAGTCGGCGCATTTTGGGTGGTCGTTTTCGGGAGGTTCTACTGTAGTCGCCTTTTCCAGTTCTTAGGCGGCGTCGGTTGGAACTTGTTTTGGTTCATGGGTTTCGCGCATAGATTTACACACTAAGGCGCTGTTACATTATATTTTGAAATCAACAAATATTATTTTGTATTTGAAGGAAAACGCCCCTTGGCAGGTGGTACAACGCCGCGATGACCTAAAAGAGGCAGTTTTTGCGGGAAAGATGTTTCGGATTCGTTTCGGAGGAGAGAAACCGCTGGACCGTATGAACTACGATCACTTAGCTGTTTCCTAGGGCCTTTGGTAGCTGCCTAATTATACCTCTATTTGTGAAAAAGTAAAGAAATTAACCAAGAGACGGTTTGTTGTTTGTAATACGTAGTAAAAAAATCAAATTTCAACATCTCTGACAAGAAAATGCCAACTTTTAGTGCGTGACTGACAGGCCTGGACCCCGGCTTCTCTCATGCAAAGTTAGTATCCCTTCTTTCTGAAGAGAAATAAACTAGGGAGAAACAAATGATGTTGCGAACAACGCATTGTCTGTTCAAAACAAAGTTTCCATAAGATTTCATAAGGAGAAAAAAATCAGTAAAAGAAGGCGGAGCTGCTCGAGACGTCGTTGCGTGACATTGTTACTCTAACTGTTAGTTTATGACTTCCTCTCAAGCAGTGTATCCCGTTCGCAAAAAACCCCCTTCAAAAAAAATTTCAAGGAAAATGTACCTACCTATTTTAGATATACCGGAGGCGAATTTACGATGATACATATGGATGCTAATACAAGGAAGTTAGGAAAAGAAACGAGAGACATGGGATATAGTTTACATAATAATTCGGCGCTTTTATGTAACGCTTCTTCGAGGTCGTTTTTTATTATTATTATTTGTGAACGGTTAATTACTCTGATAATTTAAGATAAACTTTATCAAAAAACGTTTTCGTGCTTCGTGATGTTTCCGAATATTACATACCGACCTTGAATTGAAACAAAACCGGCTGCCGCAACATTTCTGTACAAATTTGACTTATGCAAATTTGTGACATTTTGCCACTGGTGGTCACGAAACTCTTTATTTTGTAAAGGCGAATCAGGAGTACCCAGATTTTTTATTTAATATTCAGTTAATATAAGAGCTGAACTTTATCCTAGTATACATTTTGGCTAGCTATCACACATACCAAGGTAAGTTTTTTGCCTCTGAAGTCGCTCATTTTTCAGCCATTTTGAAAAGTGCCATTGATGGTAGTTTTTAAAAAACCATAAAAAATTCAAAATTAAGTTTATGGTTTAAAACATACCATGGATAGAAAGAAAAGATAGAATTCTTTTAAACAAAAATATTTCTGTTTTATAGCTTTGAATCTTGCCTCGGTACAGACGCGATAAAGTAGGTCATTTTTACTCTAATTTTTGCATAATTAATTAGGAAAAAACCGCTATTTTCGTTTTTCCTCTTTTTCTCGAAAACTATAGATTCTTGAAAGTTGAAAATATTTTTTTCGAAGATAGTTCCCCAAAGGGGTTTTTCTGACAAATCATCAGAATTTTCGATTTTTTTAGCCTGGCCAGCGATTCTCGATATTTACAGTCATGGGCTCTTAAGAAATTTATTTCCGACTATTGGTACGAGATCATTTGGTGGAAAATCTTCTGAAAGCAAATCTAGTAAAGGTAAACGGCCTCCCCCCCAAAAACCAAAGAAAGATATAGTGCATAAAGATGTAGTTCTTCTTCCTTCTCCTGACACGAAATCAGTTCCCACGCACCAGACACGATGTCGATTGGAAAACAACGGTTTTGTTGTTCATGCATTTCCAGTAGATAAGTCTCTACAGGAGGAAGATCTGAGAGCTCAAATAAGAGAGGTATTCCCAGCTCTTAAAGAAACAGACTTTGAATTTGTGAAGTCGTGCTATGGCTAAATAATCACACCAAAGTTAGCTACAGGTGTGTATTTCTCATCTTCCCGTGTTCTTAGCCTTGCTGGGCAAGGGAGCATATACATTCGACCAGCGCATGATATCTCTGGCAACCTTGCTAGCGACATTGACAGTCCTCCCCAGAGTCCAGACCCAGTTCAAGTGGAAGTTGCTGTTGACGAAGCATATAGTGGTCCTTCAAATGCTTCATACCTTTCCGTCACTGGCCCATCAAGCAGTGCAACAGCATCTAGCAGTGCAATACATGTAAACCAGGAAGAGTTAGACCAATTAAGAGAGATGTTTCCGGAAAAAAGCAGCAGCTTGCTGCAACGTGCCTTAACCTGCCATGGGAGTGTTAATCGTGCTGCTCTTTCCCTCTCCTCCCAAAATCTTCCTGATGAAATTGACTCAGATGAGGATGCTGATGCAGAACTTTTAAAGCCTGCTTTTCCAGCTAAAGCTGATTCCTTGGAGGCAGTGTTGAAGGAGCTTCAGAAAGGTTTGAGTACACAGAAACAAAAGCTCAGAGTTGATGAAGAAGATATCTTTAGTTATGCCATGGTATACTATAAAGATCCCAGCTTTGATCCTAGCAAGCCCTTACGAGTCCTTTACACAGGGCAGCCTGCTGTCGACACAGGAGGAGTAACCAGACACTTTTTTAGCCAACTTCTCCAAGTCATATGTAACACGTTCTTCCATGGTGACAGTTACAAGCATCCAGTTTACAATGCTGATATTGTTGCTTCTGCTATGATGAAATACATTGGGACAATTATAGTGCACAGCATTTTTCAAGGCGGGCCAGGGTTTGCAGTCTTTAGCCCTTCAGTGTATCAGTACCTAGCAACAGGTGATGTTGACGCGGCAATGATGATGCTGAATTATGGAGACTGTTCTGCATCTGTGAAAGATTTCATTGACAAGGTATTGTATAAATGTACAGTTAAATGATGTGCTCAAATGTAACAGCATACTTGCTATTTTTAGTTCACTGTACACGATGAATAAATCATTATATTTGGTCGAATATAAAAACAAAGTTAAAAAATTCTCTTTTCATGACTGGCTGCTCAGCCATATGTACCAGACTGATTCTCTTACATTAACAAAATTCCAAATAATTTCTGATCCAACTACTGATGTGTCAACAGCTTCTACTGAGGTATAGCACATAAATAGAACGAATGTGCTTGACATCGTAGCGGCTATATTCATGTATCATAATCTACATGCACCAACCTGAGTCCCACAGGACCATAAGTGCACAGATGTATGTTCAACAGATTGACATGCATGTCCTAACAGAAATGCAAGGATTGACCCATAGTTGTTATCAACTTACAGGTTGCTCAGGCCAAAGATGTCTCAACACTTGACCAAGAAGAATGTGCAAATTTCTTGTCGGATTGTGGCCTGGCAGTGGTATTAACTGTAAGCCTAATCTTATCTTAATTGATTCCTTCTATTAAAAAACCGCTTTGTGACAGAACTGTAAAAGCATTTTTCAAATTGTATTTTCTGTTCATAGAATGACAACAAAATGAGGGTTATCCAAGGGATGATAATTCATGATGTCATAAGCCGACCCCAAATCGTCTTGGATCAGCTGGGAGAGGGATTGGCTGTACTTGGCTTTCGTGCCAAAATGAGAGAGTACCCTGAGATGTTTGAGGAGCTTTTTGTGCCAAGCAATAAGAGTAGGTTGACTTCAACTCAGCTGGTTGATATGCTAGAGTTTCCAGCTGAGATGTGTGAAAATGACAGAATTGTAGCGAATTACCTTAAACAGTTCCTGCATAATGCAGAAGTTGAAATGTTGGAAAATTTTGTCTTTTTTGCCACTGGGTCCACCTCTCTGCCCACCTTTGGGCTTGCTAAAATCAAGATTAAATTTGACAACACTCCTTCCATTTTTGCTTCCACGTGTTTGCTTTCATTAACTCTTCCAAATCACTTTGAAAGCGAAGAAGCTTTCAGTTCATCGTTGAAAGCAGTCATTGCTAGTTCTGCAAGGAAATCGTTTAACTGTGTGTGATTAGTCTTAACAGCTAATCCAAGGTCTTTTAAAGTGATGTTGTGTTTTGAAAGGAGTATTTCCTAACTTTTTTAGAGACATATTTATTGACTGATACTTGGCATTTGCCACTGTAACATTTTAAGCATATGAAAAAGTATTTCAAGCATATCTCATTGGTGATAGAACGTTATAGTTATTGTTCATGGTATTTTGCCACTGATACTTGGCAATTGCCATTGTTATTACATTTTATGCTTTGAAGAGGTATTTGTTCCTGCCCATAAAGTTAGCCCTTCAAGGTTTAGAGTTAACGTTTAACTTGACATGCGATACAGGCTATCCATAAGAACTCAGAAACTAAACAATCTTTTAGGGCTTTTTGTTTGGAAGCTAATTATCCTCCAATAGCTAGGCCATTTGCACTAAGAAGTCACGTGACATCTTTTAGATGAAAATGAAAGTTATATGATTTTGCCTCAAGAAAACAATTCGTGGGTCATAGCTTCAACAAAATAAAAGTAATTAGGTTTTTCAACCTGCACCATTTCCTTAATGAGTAAGTTCGTGGCTGGTCACATGACCAGAATTATGTGCTCTGTCAATTTTGGCATCGGCAAGATTCCAACTCATTGTTCAAAGGAAGCATTAGTCACGTTACCTCTTAGTGTAAGTGGCCTATTCTTATTGAAAAGTCCATCTCCAAACTTTTGCACTGAAACATTGACATTGTTGCTGTTCATGTTCATAAAGGGAAGTACCTTTATCCCCATGTTATTTCTTAATATAGTGTTTTGCATGAAACAAACTTTTTTTTGCAATTGGCCAAAATGACTGATTAGCTTGGAACCCTTAGAATGCAATGTACAATACATGTATTAAACATAGTCCTTCCTTTTTCCATACTGTCTCTTGTGTTTGTATTAAGTATCAGTCATCAATAATTAATGTGGAACATGCAAGTGTAACATTTTTTTCTATTATTTGTTTTCTGCGCAATTAGTTTATAGCTCTTTTCGTCCTTTCATTTGGTTTATTTGCACAATTAAGTTTTTATTCCTTTCTGTCAGTTTTCGCCCCACGTTAGCGTTTCTTTGCTGTTTCATCATCGTTAGCACCTTTCTAAGTTTCTATAGTTTTATTTTCTGCATATTCTATGATAGTTTTGCAGTATAGTTTGGGCTCAGTTGATTTTGGTCCACGGTTAGTGCAGTTCTGATTAGTTTTTGGCAGTCTCTTCGTGTTATCCGCAATTCACTGCACAGCAGTTTTCTCTGTCCGAAACAGTGTAAGTCAGTGTACTTCACAGTCCTTGTTTTTGCAGGCTTTTTATTTCTTTATTCTGATTTTCCTTTGTCACAACTTGTAATTTTTGCTCTCTTCCTGTTTTAGTTTCACCACGTATTTTATTTCAAGTACCAAGCACGTCAGTTACAATAAATCTTGGTGTGTGCTCTGTTATTAAAGGCCATGAGACTATTACGCTTATTGCAGTTACAAATGGCTATAGCTATGGATTAATTTATAATCAGTACAATTCAAAACATGGACCTAAATGTCCTGCTTTCATTTAAAAATGATTTTGTTTCACGGATCATTGACAGATTTCTTATGATAACCTTACAACTTGTTTTGCTGCTTGATATCAAAATCAACAATACAACAACTACTGTACAGTGAACAAAACTAAAGCAAATGACCTGCAATTTCACTGTTACATGACCTAAATGCCAACCAGGACACAGCCAGGATTGGGACTATGACAGCCTTTATTACAACATGTAAATAGGTTATCACTCAAATATAGGTACAATATTAAAATGAAACAGGTAATAAGACTAGTTACACTCAAATGGAATCAACAAATGTATACATAAGTTGTAAAAACAGCAAGACTGTCAGACATAAAGGAAATGAATATACTACCAAAAACTACCCAGGGTGGGTAGGGTGGGAAAACTAGTAAATGCAGCTACTAAAGACTGTTTACTAGCCGAGCTATATTGTACTAAGGTAAAGGCTGTCTTAGTCCCAGTACCCCCCATATTTGATATTTACAACAGCATCACAACCCTGATGCCTACCCTTTAAAATCAGAACTCATCAGACCGGTTTGCAAACTGTTTCTGTAATGACTCAAGGAATACAAAGATGGCTAAATCTTTTGATTTTAATGGATAACTAACATTGAAATTGGTATGCACCTAAATGAATAGAAGGAAACATTAAACGTCAATGCTGTGACATATGCAAGTTATTTCCTTACCTGAACTCACGTGCTACAGCTACACATTGGACACGACAAAATTAATGAGAAGCCAGAATGCTTTCTATTTCTTGTAGTAAAATTTGCGGATGACACTGAGCAAGTTGTTATCAGTAATGATATGGTTACATTGAAATATATTTCTACATTGAAAGTTGATTTCAGTAAACCTTGAGGGAAAGTTTTTTACACTCAGCCCATAAAATGGCCAGTTGCTTAATGTCTAGGTCCCCTGCCCCTCTTCAAACCCAAACTTAAAGCATCTCATTAACAACACCCACAAGCTCAACATATTTAGAGATTCGTTCACTCCTTGTTAGGTTTGTGGGTACTAGGGAGTGAAGGTAATCCAGCTGATCTTCACTCAAAGGTATGTTACTGCTGGGAACAATCACCTCTTGATCCTCTTCTGAAACAGAAATGGCATCCTCTTCATCTACCCCATACCAAATTAATTCTTCCTCTGATAAAATACCATCCAGAGGTGAGTTCCTGCCATTTGCAGATCTTAGAATACCCTCAGTCCAAAGCTGAAGAGGAGATGAACCACCTTCTGTGCTAAGGCCATGGTAATTCCACTGCCTGGTAAATTCATCCAGAGATTTCTTAATTTCCTGCAGAAATACAAGGTGAAGAGAAAGTAAATGGACTTCATTGATAGGGTCTAATAGACCAGATCTTTCCATCATGTTGAACTCGTCTATATAGCTTCTCAGAACACTACTGGTCACATCTCTATGAAGCCGTTCGACTCTTTGATTGTGCACTGAACTTCCAGTTATCATGCTCCCTCTGTTGACTCCCCGACACTCCAACATCATTCGGGCTACACCCATGTTTTCGAGACCATGGTCACTCCTAACCCTTGAAGGCATTCCATAACTTTGGCAGGCATTCTGAAATAGTGCAAGTACTGTATCGGATCTGTTGTTGTTTGCACAGTGCAGATATGGTACCAACCTAGAATATCCATCAATAGCAGTATGTACCACAAGCCGCCAGCGTATCATCTTATGGTTCCCATCGATGTGCCACAGTGCATTTGGACCTCGTACATTGTACTTTCTTTGACAAATAGTTCCTCTCCACCGAAGTGCTGTTCCAATTGGATCCAACTCACGCATAAGTTCCCTGACTTTCCATCGCTGCACTCTTATTCCCCTGCTGTGTAATGCACCTATCATTCTAGTTTGACCAATCCCAGGGGTAACAGTCATTATTTCTTGCATGATTTCTCTTAGTTCTCCATTCCTAAGTGAAGACCAGTTAACCTCCCCCTCGTCCTCAATTTGAAACTCTTGTCGTCTTCTAGTTAGAGTTTTTGTGGAAATTCTGAGTAGTTCCGCTATTCTGACCCAAGGAAAGTGCAACTCTCGAAGAAATTGTATTTGCCTTTTAGAAACTTTAAATTTTGGCTGACCTCTTGTACCTGTGTAGTTCCTTTCGCATTGGTGAGCTGGCACATTCCATGTGCTTTCACTTAAATCATCTGCTATATTCTCAAAATATACTCGGAGTCTTGTCAAGTATAAGGACAGCTGATCCATGTTGTTATAAAAGTTTCCCATTTCCAAATCACGATCCGCGCTAGTGAGTTCGGCAGCCTTCTCTTTCAAAATAAAAACAGTTTCTCCAGCCTCAGACAGCCTTTCGTGTAACATTTCTATTTCATCTATGTTTTCAATAGATGGAAATATAGAAATGTATTGTTCCGCTTCTGCAAGAAGTGCTTTTGTCCTTTGAAAAAAGGATATAAGTCGATTCTCTGATCCCGCTATACCACCAAGGGCCGCCATTTTGGTTTACCGCCAGTGGGATCTGGGTAGCGGCATTGCTTAAAGCGCGCGGTGTATCATACCATACGAAATGAAAAGTTGAGCATGCTAATATTTTTCAGAGAACACTGCAAATTTATGGGTTGAAAATTTATTGCGGGCTATTTATCTGGAGTTTAGCACGATTATATGACAATGGCCATATAGAACAGAAGTAGATACACCATATTTATTTGGAGTTTAGCATGTTTATACACAGGCGGCCCAGACGTAGTATGTGTCACTGAATGAATATATTAATATTCACATGGACAAATTAATGCGATGAGTCGTCGAAACTCCCATGGACTAAAATAGTCTAAAAGTCAAAATATAACAAAACAAAGCTAAGATACCTTCAACTGAACGTATCCTTGTCTTTCCTGGCCGGTTTAAGTGGCATTTTGTTGAGTTTTGAAATTGTAGGTACTATCCACTATAGAAGAATTAAAGGCTGGCTACAAAACAAACAGACCATCTCCACGCGCCTTCACACGAAGCGCTATAAATTCGAGAATAATCGACGAATCCACTCCAAAGAACCATCGGCTAATCTGCAGGTAACGTCTGCTCCTGCCTCTGGCTCACTTGCTCCACAAAACCCATCGCAACTGCACAATAATTGCTCGCTCATCAACAACCACTGTTGACCTTTACGCTTCGATATGACCGCAAACGACCAGGTGTAATACGCGACGTGAATATTCAAGCTTAGCGACGCGTTCGCGCAACAATGCAGCACTTGCTATGGGAGGGATGGTACTATTGCTTCTAGGTCAATCGACTGACCGAAGGTTCGCTGCGTTAGTTTTGACCAGAAAACAAAAGGCGATCGCGGGACCGTCCGTAAGTTTTCAACAGGGCAGCCCTGGTTTTCAAGTTCGAATTCCTCTAACGTTCGCTGTCTCAGATGCTGTCACATTGTTTGTCCAGCCGCTTGCATAGGTTCTTGACTCTACCAGACTTATTTGCTTAGATTAACAACATACTCCTTAATATGTTGTCCAAACTGGTGAAGGAGGACGAGAATTTTCCGCCCAGGAAAAAGGCAAAATCTGGCCCCCGCTATGCAGCTGAATAGAAGATACAGCTGAAGATATCGTAAAGTAAAATTTATGTGCGCGATATCTTTTATTATTATTATTATTATTATTATTATTATTATTATTATTATCATTATTCTCAAAACTCAGGGGCACCCAACGATGACTTCCCCCTAAAAGCATTGAAAACACATTTACGGCTGTCCAGAGTACTTTTGACCGAAAAATGCATTCTAAACAGCGCTTACATAAATTTAGTCAGGAGGGCTAAAAGCGAAGCTAATGAGTTATAGTTTGCTCATACTAAATATAAAGTATATCGTGTAATGCTAAGCGGAGAAGGCAACGAGACAGGGCCACCCAACGACTGTTTCCTCAAATACTTTCAATTGAAAACACTTTTGTAGCTATTCATAAAGTACTTTTAGCTCTATAGAAATGCATTCTAAGTGGCGCTATAAAACTTGCATCTCAGTGTTCGGCCATTCTAGAGGAACTTGAGTCTTTTCCAAATTACGAGGAATTCAGAATTATTTTCCCGAAAATTTTAGATGCGATTTAACGTTTTACGAAGGAGGTAATTTTTCAGATACCTTCTTTCATCACATTTTTGAATCCGAAAATTTTAGGATTCCATTTTACTCTCTACGAAAAATAGCCTAACCCGGTGAGTGAAATGTGAAAAATTAAAAGTTGGATGCCCTTGACCAGAACTGTGAAAAACAACAATAGGTCTAATTGCAGCACATTTTCTTGTACATTTCCTTGCCGTTGATTTGCATGACTGCAACCTGAAACGTCCAGAAAACTTCCTGGTTTTCACTTTTTATGGAGAAAATGTGGTACACGTTCTTGTTCACTTTTTCCACTGCTGCTCATTTTTTTTAGCTCCGCTATAAGATTCGTATCTGTTCGGTGCTCCTAGGGCAAATTGGATCTTTTTTAAAAATTATAAGGGCTTCAATATTATTTTCCCGATTGATTGACCTAGAAGCAATAGTACCATCCCTCCCATAGCAAGTGCTGCATTGTTGCGCGAACGCGGTCGCTAAGCTTGAATATTCACGTCGCGTATTACACCTGGTCGTTTGCGGTCATATCGAAGCGTAAAGGTCAACAGTGGTTGTTGATGAGCGAGCAATTATTGTGCAGTTGCGATGGGTTTTGTGGAGCAAGTGAGCCAGAGGCAGGAGCAGACGTTACCTGCAGATTAGCCGATGGTTATTTGGAGTGGATTCGTCGATTATTCTCGAATTTATAGCGCTTCGTGTGAAGGCGCGTGGAGATGGTCTGTTTGTTTTGTAGCCAGCCTTTAATTCTTCTATAGTGGATAGTACCTACAATTTCAAAACTCAACAAAATGCCACTTAAACCGGCCAGGAAAGACAAGGATACGTTCAGTTGAAGGTATCTTAGCTTTGTTTTGTTATATTTTGACTTTTAGACTATTTTAGTCCATGGGAGTTTCGACGACTCATTGCATTAATTTGTCCATGTGAATATTAATATATTCATTCAGTGGCACATACTACGTAGGGGCCGCCTGTGGTTTATATGACAATGAGCATATCAAACTGGAGTTTAGCACATATATCAAAGGTTTGCAATAATGTCCAGTATGGCGCCCCATAATATGTGACGCTGCACTCGTTACGGGAATCGCGCCGAACTTACCGTTCTCAATCCTTATTCGACATGGTTTTTCGTGCCGACTGAAGAGATATCCTGTACCCACTTGTTGCCATCGATATTATTGCATGATTGCTTTACGGATAAAATATTGTGAAACCCAACAAGTCTAATTTACCTCTCAAGAGATTAACATAATAGACCCAAGACCCGAGAGCATTAATTTGGAAATCAGTGATAAAAAATTTTAAATTCGAAAAAATGGCACCGCGCTTTCTCACTCTTTCAGAAATCATATACAGTCGATGAATATTGTTTTCTTTCAATTGGTAGCTACGTCGAGTGTAAATGTTAATTTAACGTAACTGGTGTGTATCGATGGCACGTACTTAAGAGTCTCTTTTTGTTTGAATATCATTTAACTTGATTTTAATTCTAAAATCAAAGAATAGCTGATTATTCGACTTTTTATTCACCGTTTTACAAATTTTACAGTATCCCCCTCCCGACCCCCGCGCTTGAGGGAATAAAACGAAAAAGTTTCACGGATTCATACGTTTCTTTTGTTTAAATTCCTTCAATCGAAATTGTTCGATTTAACGGTAATAAAGTAAGAAGGCCCATGATTATGTTTAAACTTTGATGTATTTTTTTTGGAAAGTTCTAAGACGTCTTTCAATGTAGAGAACTCTCATGTACCGCGCTCAAAACGGTGGCTACATGCACCGTTATAGCTTTAGCGATCCAGTTAATCCGTAAGGGCCATTATGGAATAGTCAAAAAAATTCTTCCCTCAAACTATGCTCTTCGTCTCTTCTGTGACTTGAAGTAAATGGTCTGAACGCATAGAACTGAGCAGGGGCGGATCCAGGATTTTTTTAGGAGGGGGTGCACTCGTCTCTTGCTCTATTTCAACACCAATAAACCACATAGTTTGTTTGTTTGTTTGGTTTTTTTTTGCAGAATACCTGTTGTATTAGAAAACCGCAGGTCATCTCAGGAGGGGAGGTGCGCACCCCCTGCACCCTCCCCCTGGATCCGCCCCTGCTGAGACGCTATTGCGAGTGAATGAAGTTCCGGTTCATAAGGTATGACCACGTGCATTCAGTCAGTTTCCAAACATGTATACTGAGCGCGTTGAAGCCTTTGAAAAATTAACTTATGCAGAGGATAAAGGTCAGTGTATGAAGGAAAGCTTTTATTGCCGATCTTTTTACGATCAAGTTTTGATTCGAGCTTGCCTTACCTGATTTTTACCTGAAAATAACTGTCAGAATGCAGCTGTTAAAGTTGCTGCCTTTCATTTCCCAGCTAGCAGCTTTGATTCTTAAGTAAGTATGACTGAGAATGTGCGTTTATCATCGTGCACATGGCCGCGGGGAATTTATTTACTTTATTAATATTTACCTTTTCCTATTTTTTTCTTTAATACAGAGCTACCTGTGATCCGGTGAACCTTGTCTTTTTGAACAACGGTCATTCCCTAAAGCTCAACAAACATCAAGTAAGATTATTGCTTTGTTGGCTAGTACTTATTTTCCCCTAGAATTGCGAGGATTCTTTCAGTAGCCAGAGATATGTTCTAAAATTTATATGTAGATGATACAAGATACTACAGTTTTCATCTCGCGGTACGTGATCTTTTCTTGGTACCAGCCATCATTTTCTTATCTCTGATCAGTTATCTTTTTTATTCAGGGAAAAAAAAATTAATATAAAGTGTTATATATATGCTTCATTGCAATTTTGAATAATTTTACCAGAAATGTCAATAAAGGAAAATAAAACAACGTGGGGGAATTTGTGAAAATGCCGTAATAAATGGAGACTAAGACCTCACATCCCCACTCATGCTATGGATATCGGGACAAGAACTAGCAAAGCCTAAACGTCAGAACAACAAACTTTCACGGGCTATGGACCAGTTTCTAAGAAGCTTCAGAGAGGAGTAGATTATCTAGACTAGCGACACAGTTTCCTCGTAAATAACGTGAGATGAAGTTTTCATCTAGCTTGCAAAGGTTACGGAGGTTGACTTGCAGCTCGTTCGCAAAAAAAATCTAAAATAATAATAAAACACTGCAGGATTCTCTCAGTTTTATTGTTCTGCGGTAGCGAGTTACAAGGTTTTGAATGAGGGTACCTCTATAACACTAAAAACTTTTGGCTCTGTAACATGAATAAAGTAAATTCTCCAAAAAATGTTTCCAGAAAAACAACAAAAAACAGGCTCAAAAAGGCCAACATCAAGACGGAATCCATCAGGAAACTGATTAATTTTAGGTGGACAAAAACCTTGTACCAGAATAATTTAAAGAATATTGCAATCTTTTTTACATTTTTCAAGGGCTATAGATGTAATTAGTTATCCGTAATAACACCAAAGGAAATTTCTTAAGAGAGCCCGAGAAATTTCCAGAATTTTACCTGTGTTTTCACAATTCTTGTGAAATTTGAAATTTATTTTCTCGGGCTTCCATGAGAAATAGTCTTTAGTGTGTTATTACAGATAACTAATTACACCTATAGCCTTTATATATTGTTTAAATTATTCTGGTACAAGGTTTTTGTCTACTGAAAATTGAAATTTCTCAATTTCTTCGGTGGAGTTTGTCTTAATTTGTTTAGCATATCAAGGAGTTTTCGACCATTTCTGACAATCGCTATTATTTCGGAAGATTTCCGACAGAAGACTGCAGAAGATGTCGAAGACTACCAAAGATTTCCTAGGAGAAACCTGAAAATATATTGTCGACTCGTTGTTATATTCAGCTGGTCAAATGAAGTGAACTCCACACCGCCTCTATAAAAGCTCAATAGAACTTTGATCAAAAAGCCTAAAAATGGTGCTTTTCCCCAATTTTCTTTTCCCGATTTGGCAATTTATAGCCTGATTTGGTTGCTTTGTGCTCAAAAGTGGATTTTCCCAGGAAACGTTTCTTAACAACACCTAATGAAAGTCCTTTTGATGCCGCCATGATGTTTTGATCGCATACAGTTGGTATGAGATTGGTCCTAGTACTCCCCAGCTTTCCCAGAATACTGTACTGTTGCTCATTGGTCGAAAAAAGAGACTTGTAACAGCCCTTGACACAGCTAGGCTCAAAGTTCATGAGTGATTTTATTACCGATTTTCCAAGAGCAGATAAGAATTGTTAAAAGACTATGAAAAAACCCTCCAAACAATTAACAGTATTTTCTCGGGAAACAGTAAACAAATAAAAATTGGCCAATCTAACAGCAAACCGGCTAAAAGTTATGGGCAAATAACACTTAACACTAAACCTCACTAACACTCGTTTTTCGGCCGACTATCAACTTTCGCAAATTCTGTTTCCTTAACAACATTTCAGTGCTGAAAATAGTCTTAGAAATCCCAGTTGCGTCCGAAATCCATTTTTTTGAACCCTTCCGCTTGAAATATACTGAATTAAAAGCATAGGGAAATGTATTTAGGAAAATCAAAGTTTCTGTAAGTAACAACGCGTATAGTTAAATTTTGAGGATTGTCGAGAAACCAGATCCCACCGTTAAATCCTCCGACGAATTCAATGCCTTGAAATAAAGTGCCCGTACCTGAACCAAATGCAACCTCAACATTTTTTCGAGAAGTAAGCGGCAATGCGCCAATAGTGGATCAAGAAACAGCCATGCTTCGTTGTATCATGGCAAATTACAAGAAGCCGATTATTATAAATAACCCAATCCGAAACACAGGAAAACCACGCTCTGTTCCTACTATCGAGGTCAGTCTCTTGTCTTACTGTAATCGAACTCCATCTATTGTAGAATGTTCGTGTTGAAGAAGTCACAGCCCCCTGCAACCCTGAAAACAAGGGATTACTTCGTATGGCAAACCGGCACTTGGAGTTCTGTAACGGAAAATCCTGGGTGCGACTATCAGATGTAACAGGCCCAGTAACAGGTCAGTGTAACAACAGTCCAAGTTAAGCTTAACTGGAAGGGGGCAGACAGCAAATTGTTATTGCTCGAAAAACCTATATATCATCTGTTTTTGGTATCGTCAATCAGACACCATCCTCATGCACATGTATTTTTTAGGAAAGAGCTGTCTTGATATCAAGAATCGAGGTCAGTCTCGGGGAGATGGTATATACCGGTTGGACCCAGATGGTGGAACGCATTCAAACGCGTTCCTAGCTTACTGTGACATGACGTCATACAACGGAGGATGGACCATGTGTTACACTACTGATGAATACGCCAAACCCAAGACTGAAGTCAAGTACAATTCCAATCTTTCTTTTGGGACTGACGGGTACAGGACTGACTGCAACAACATCCCAGTAAGTCTATTGGCTTCTAAATGTACTCTGAAACTGCAACAATAGCAACATTTGTGGCTTAATAAAGTGTGAGGCTGCAAAAACAATGATAAATTGTAACGTGTTGGTGACATCCGACCTGATCAGAGATCAAATAATTTGAAAGGTCCACGGCTGGATTACAATTACTCAGTTTCTATTAAGAATCATTTCAGTCGTGAAGACTTTCAGGACTTTCTAACAGAAATAATAATAATAATAATAATAATAATAATAATTCTTAGTGGATTTGTTTGTATTTTTGTTAGTTCACTGAAATCATCTTCATTGATCACCAAAGTGGAAACAAGGCCTACTTCAAACGCAAAGTCAATCATCCCATAACAGCTGCTGGAAACTATGGAAAGCGCGCAAGTGCCTACGGATTGTGGACAGGTGTTGGAACTATGAATAGTGGCTACACCTACCAGCTGCTAATCTGTGATCATTCTTTCTACACCGGGTTTTTTGTTTCCGGTTACACCAACTGTTACAAGCTTTGTAACAACTGGTGTGGTGATACCAAATCGCCTTATTTCCGCACAGCTTCTACAAATAGCGGGTATAAGGGTGTGGCCTTCAATATCAATGGTCACCGATCCGTCAGCACTCGACTGGTGAGTGTCGGTCTGCGTTAAGATGGCAGCTCTGCCGACAATTTCGTCTGAACATATTAAAGGCGTTGATTTAGGTAAAACGGGCTGTGTTGTTTTAAACTAAGAGATTTAAAAAGAGCGATAAGTAAATTAAAATCATTCAGACCCAGCTAGTTGCAGTCGTAAGTTAATTTTGCTGAGAGGCTAAGTGCTTTTTGTAATAACAAATGGATTATATAAGCAAAATACATAATGTAAACAAGAGGGCATTACTGTATTTGGAAATAGAAAATAAAAAAAATTGAAACAAACATTAAGTATTTATTGTTAATTCTAAACTTTTTGCGTACCTTAGACTTCAGTTCCCACTATCATTGTTTTTTTTTTTCCAATTCCGTTTATCCTCTCTTCTATAAAGTTGACAGTAAATTTCAAGAAAATACTGCTTTTTCTATGAATGGCAACATAACGGTCGCTAGCCTTTATGGTGAACTGAACATGTAAAGTAGGGAGCCGCCTTTTTTGCATCATTTTAGCTACGCCGCTTTGAGACAGTTCAGTTGAAGGTTGGTTCTGAAAACATCCATTCTGATGTCAAAACGGTAAGCCTTACAAAATGACTTTCTTGACTTTTGAAGTCGTGAATACAGTAATGGAAAATGCTAAAATCTCACAGATTCTCTTCTTCTTATCAAATCTCAGTGATATTTTACTGAGTAACGCCCAAAATCTCCAACGGAAATTTTAAACTAACTGAGCTCCGATTGCTTTGCCTTCTTAGAGGGGAGTATATCACTGTATCGCATAACCTCCAAGTAAACTGTCTGAAAAGCCGGGCTTGGCTTAGCCTCCCCGCAGACGTCGTTTGGAGTTAGTTTGTCACGTATTCATTTTTCCCAAACGGATACGTGACAAACGAACCCCATAGGACGCCTGCGGGGAGGCTAGGCTTGGCTTAAACAATTTGAAAAGAAGAGCGGGGTTAAAGAAAATCAAATTAAAATGCGACTAGAGTTTGTTTTAAAATGAAAGAATAATAAGTCATATTCCCTTGACGAGGGTCTGCATGGGGGACTCCAAATGTCAGTTGTCAGTTAAAATTTTGGCCATTTGTCAGTTGTCAGTTAAATTTTGGGCTTTTTTGTCAGTTGTCAGTTAAACGATTGTCAATAATCAACTATAAAGCTTTTTTGTTTATTTTTGATCCTGATACAAGAGTCCCGGGACAAGAGTACCTTCATTTTTATCAGCTTTGCTATTGAAACCATTTCAAGTGCCCTCCATTTCTCGAGTCTTGTTTTACTTTCCTCCATGCAAACGTTTTTGCTAGAGTCCAACATTTCCAACCATTAAGCCAATCAAAATTTATACCTTCAGAACATTGAGAAGTAGATCTTATGAAAAACCAAGATAGACTGTTCAGAATCATCTCGTTAAAAACTAGCCTGCGCAGCAAGCGTTTCCGTTTGGTTTCGGAGCAAAAAAGACCGAAGAACGGGATTCTCGGTTTTGGCCGCACGAGAAATGAAGCAAGATTTAAAAAATGAAAGTGGGAGGAGGGGAAGGTTTCCTTCATTTCTTCCCCACCTCCTCCCCGCTCTTTTACTTGCGCCATTTTTCGCGCGGTGTTTGACTCTCGGCAGGACTTTTCCGCGGGTGACGGGTGCCAGGTGGTGGGTGACGGGTGAATAATAAAAAATTTTAAAAAAAGTGGAAACCAAAAAAAGAAACAAAGATAATAACCACACGTCCGCTTACTTAACAAGGCATGGTAGAGCTGCATGTACCAAAAAATTGGCTTCCACACGTGCCATGTGTCTTGCTTAACATAGCCCTAGCCTGCGTTGCAGGCGTTTGAAAGGGAAGGGAAAGGGGATTTTGGGCGCGAGGAGCGTTTCTCTCGCACTTAAGACTCCCTTTCCCTTCCCTTTCAAACGCCTGCCACGCAGGCTAAACATAGCCCATTTTCGTTTGACACACCGCGTATAGCCTGGCGAAACGTCACTTGCGGTGCGGAGCTAGGAGAGGTGACTGTTTTCACAGGCATGATTTCTCGGTTTTTTTTTTCATATTTGAGAAAATAAAAATAGTCCGCGTAAGTAGATAAGACGAAACAAGACAATACTTTTATTTGGAGTCTGGTAGCTAGTACATAAACATTGAAATTATTTTAAAATTACAACATACAGTTATATCAATATCAATTACACTATAACGAGTTATAATATTTTATTTCTTACATATTTTTAACCCGCTCCTTCTCTGGTACGCATTATTGTTGTTTTAGTCTCAGGAAAATTTCCTTGTTTTCTCGAAATAGACATTTTGTGCATTTAAAACTACAAGTCGGGAACCAAACTGGCAAAGATTTATTCCACGAGCAATGCAATGTTTATCCCAACTTATAACCAAAAGAACAAACGCACTTGTCACTTGTTTTTTGTCATGTTGTATTTGAATTATTTGTTTCTAAATATTTGAGTGGAGTGCCTGTAAATTAGCTGACTAGCTAAGTGCACCTTCCACTATAAACATGCCTTTAACCTAACCTTTTTTTTTTAAAAGCTGGGAAGAGAATGAATGAGAAGAGAATGCGATCTTACTTTTGTGGTCTCAGGATAAATAGTACTTTAATTTTTGTGAGTTCCTCAAGCTATCTCGTGCATGCGATATCGTGTAGAAGAATATTGATAAAATATCGCGTTTTGTAATGTTTATTATCTTTTTTTCTTTTTTTAGTTTCCACTTTTTTAAATTTTTTTATAATTCACCCGCCACCCGCCACCCGCCACCCGTCACCCGTCACCCGTCACCCGTCACCCGTCACCCGTCACCCGTCACCCGTCACCCGTCACCCGTCACCCGCGGAAAAGTCCTGCCGTTTGACTTTCGTTCCTCGTTCTTTGCTCCTAAACCGCACGGAAACGCTTGCTACGCAGGCTAGTTAAAAACTTACAACTGCTTTTTACTGCTTTTTTATCGTGTGTGCTGCGTGTTCTCAGAGGAGCAGTCAATTTGAGACCACAGGCATAAAAGATTATAACTTCGCTTGAAAGTTTCATCTTTAAATACTATTAACGCGAAGCTACAATTCAGTAAAAAGGTTAATGCGGTGAATTTATACAATATTTCCCCCTCGCGTGCCAAATATAAACCTAGTATATGGCCTTGCTCTCCATGAGTTCTCCGCGGCTCAGTGGATAGCATGGGATAGAGCGTCATCCCGGTGTTTGGGAGGTCATAGGTTTATCTTTGTCCCACTCTCGTGACATGCTGATTATTTCATCTTCGCATTTGTCACCGAACTTAAAATTTACCATCTTTCATTCTTTCACTAAATCATGTTAGACAGAAGGGAGTATTTAAAATTGCTGCAAACCTCTAGATCAAGAACAAGATTTATGTCTGTCTGTTGTCAAGGCAAAGGTCCATCGATCTATTCTTTCCGGATTACATGTTGCAGGGAACTGTGAACTATCCCTTCACATGACAGAGTAGAGCATTAAGGAACATTGATAAGTCGACAAATGTGCAGCTCCTAATTTCCTTTATTTTCTGTTTATGTATGATGTTGATGAAATATTTACTTATTTTTATTTAGAGGGGTATTGGATTAGTTTCCCCGTGAGAATTGTCATTGACGCGATCTTGTAGTCCAGTTGTAAGTATCTAAGGAGAGGGACAAACAGCCAAGAAGAGCAGGAGTATTTGCAAGTGCCGTGCGCGTTTTTAGAAGTGCAATATTCCGCACTACGCCAATGATCCCGGGATCGTGTAAAATAGAAAGGTCTCAGGAACATATTTAAACAGAAAGTTCACTAACATTTTGTCAGTTGTGAGTTCTGATAAATACCTGCAATAGCACAATCAATGGACTGTTGTTTTAAAAATACAAGTACGTCTTTAGTTATTTGGGATTATTACTAAATTTCGCAGGTTTGTTTTAACAGCCAGTAATAGTTAGGTTGCGTAGCAAGCGTTTCCGTGTGAGTCAGGGTTAAAGAACAAGGAACGAGAGTCAGAGACCGCGCAAAAAATGGCGCGAGTAAAAGAGCGGAGAGGGGGTGGGGAAGAAAGGATGAAATGTTTCCTTCCTTCCCCTCCGCCTCCCCCCTCTTTCATTTTTGGCTCTCTTTTCATTTCTGGCTCGGCCAAAACCAAAAATCCCGTTCCTCGGTCTTTTTTTACTCCGGAACCAAACGAAAACATGGGGAACGCTTGCTACGCAGGCTAAGTAATATTAGTATTTATTAAAAACTGAATCATTGGATAATGCAATTCTAGCATTTTCATTGGCTTAGCCGTTATGGTATATTATACACTTAATGTCAGATCCCGAGGGAAACAGTTAGTTTTGTTTTCCCAAGAGTCCTGATGTTTCCCGAGACGAAGTCGAGGGAAACATCAGGACTCGAGGGAAAACAAAACTAACTGGTTTCCCGAGGGACCTGACATTAAGTGTTTTGTTATATTTCTAGACTTTCACTTCAACAGCAACAAAAGAATAACCGGAGCGAACCAAAACAGTCGACTCGGTACTTATAACAACACAAATTTAATTCTCAAAACCACTGAATGAATGATTTACAAACAAAAGTGCTTTCCTCATATTATATGCATCTTTTTCCTCCACTAGCTGCTGTTTTTCTTCTGGGAACTTCTTTGCCTGCGTGCAGACGTCTCCTATTTCCTTTGTTGCACGCGGAAAAGGGACGTCTGCGTAACGCCGTCGCTAATCGTGTTCCAGCGTCCTGCTGGGTTCCCAAGATCTTGGGAACACGCTGTGATAGGCTGACACACAGTGCGCATTGTTTGACTTAACGCTGATTGGTTGTTATCGAATGTGGTCTGATAATGTATGCGGTGATTTAAATGATTTATGTAAGCGGGGTTTTCTAACCAAAACAAATCAAAACATGTGCGATTGTGTGCTGTGTTTTTCGTCTATCGAAAAGCAGAGCGATCGAAATCTTGTGCGGGGACCCGGAAAATTTAACGTGTACGAGGAAATTATTTCTTTACAATTTACTGTGCGTGACACATCACATCATATTTGTAAACGGTGTCTGAGAAAACTACAAAAGCGGCGTGGACTTCGCACCAGGCAGGCATTTCGGAGAAAGCCAGCCAAAGAAACTAAAAGCTTTATTTAGCCGTAACAAACAGAGGTCAAGAAAATTTAAACACTTTACAACTGCATCTGAAATCAAATCCTATCGGGAACACCCACAGAAGCATAAACCACGGGAAATGATTAGTCAGTATGCATGTAACAAACCCGGGTAACA